ATTTAGTTGCCGTGAATGGAAGCGAAATAAAAAAGATAATGAGGCTTTTTCACTCATCATTATCATATGATTTTCATTATTACTATCATATTCTTTGGTGAAATATTATTGAATTAAATTGAGTCTGTATGTATTGTGATGTTAGTTATGTAGACGATTACTCAATATAAATAAAATAATTAACAAAAATAATACTGATTAGTAGTGATGTGGATGTTTTATTGTCACAAGCCAGGTGAAAATGTTTTGTATTTACCTAATTTAAATTTTTGGGAATTGGTTTTGACAGTCTATTAACTCGATAAATCAAAGGAATTGAAAGTTGTATTCTGCATGTTAGAACGTTAAAAGTTACGGGTAATGATGATCCGTTTGATGAATAACAAGCGGTTGGTTGAAGGTATATTCTGCGCATGCGATGCCAAATTTCATATTAGTTTAGTACCTACGCATTACGGTTGATAGGGCACGTATAGGCTACTGGAATCAAGAGCCTAGCGCCATAACTAATCTATGGACCATTCCAAGATTATTGACATTGCTTGGAAGTGTCATAAGAAACACATGTAAACTAACGTCAGTTTATGTAGACAAAATATTCTATGGCCCATATGTTATTTATATTCGGCATAGATTAACGACGGAGTCGTTAATCTATGTATTCGGCAACAGTAGGAGAGGCTACCCGTTATCTAAAAGCCTAATGTTGAATGGAGATTATCATCCTGATAAATGAAAGAAAAATTATAATAATAAATAAAAATAAAAACCGATAAAATCAGCAATCCAAAAAAATAAACTCTCCGTAAATGGAAAATAATTTTATATACAAAGAAACAAACAAATTCTCATTAATTATTTGCTATTATTCTATCAATTCTCAAAGTTTGACCAGTTTTTTCGATAAGAGTCTAAAAATCAATCTCGCAATTTCGACTTTTTCAACTGATCAGTGATCATGCATGCATATGAAAATAAAAATTGTTCAGAGACCATTATTTCAATATTGTTCGCATGATCAAATTAAGCTCAGCAAGTTCATAATCTCAAACTTTCAAGTTATTGAAAACAGTCAACAGGCTCGTGTGTGTTGTTGTTTCAAATCGCACCCACGCTGTATAGAAGTAGCCGCTTGAACACCTGTACGGTAGATATCATAACATTTTCAACTTTAATTCGAAATTATTTAAGGTATATGAATATTTGGTGTCGAGCAATGCTGAGAATTATTTTCGACAAATCCACATCACTACAAAACTACAAGTATAAGGCAGTTGTATAGAACAACAAAATAACAACTCAGGAAATACGGTTGTTGGATGTTGGGTAACTCTTGATGATTCAGCGAGAATTTCATCCTTTTTTTCTCGAATTCATATCATTAGTGTTTTCTGCAACCGGCAACCATTTTGAAAGTGGTTGCTTCAAATACTAACATCTACACTGAAACGAAGTTTCTCATCTATAGGCAAAAATGGTAGTTAACAACTATTGGTTCTTATATGACTTCTGACTATGGGATCTAAATGTCTTTCAACGCTACTTTTTCGTGTCATCAGTGATAATGTGTGAATGTTGCTTGCGTGCAACCATTTAAATGTTTACAAATAAAATAACTTCTTGATGTGCAATCAAAATTAAAATAATTGGCTGTGGTAAAATCCAGGTCTTAATATCACGTGACCAGAAATTGAAGACTCAAAGTCCAATGAAAATATAGGCAGGGGCAGTTTTATTCTTCCCTAACTTATGTTTTCATATCATTAATCGGCGTAGGACAGCCGGTAATCGATTAAAGGTCGGATGAAAGTATTTTCGGTTGCAGAAAAAATTACATTTCATTCGCTTTCAGCGAACAAAGTGTCACTTTCAATCCTAATGAATGAATAAGGTGAAAGATGTGCCATAAAAAACGCACTCATCTCGAAATGTCTTAGAAATTGCGACATCTAGAACCTCCGTGGTAATTCCATTCAAAAGAGAAACTAGAAGAATGTTTCTTGAATGATTCAATAGATATCTATTCAATTTAGGAAATCATTGAAACAAAAAACTAATCCTCAGTTGATCAAGTTTTCCCCTATTTTTCGTTCGGGGGTTTTGTTGTTATCTTACCTCAACTGTTATTGCAATGAAAACAGATGAAAATACATAATCGGACAACAGTCAGTGTTTGAAGTCATGTGATCTAAAACCATTGGATTTTTGAGTGGCTATTTGAAAAGTATGCCTTGTCATACCTTGTATATTGTTTTCGTACGATATAACGACGAAACTTTTTGAGTTCACCTTCCGGATGAGACCATTTGCTAGATGTAATCTTCCAGACATATGGCACATCCTGTATGATGTTTTCAAAAATACCACATCAAAACTTTTTGAGTTCAACTTCCAGCTGAGACCATTAGACTTTCGCCCCGAAACGTTTGCGTTTTTTATTGTACATCTTTTATAACACCACCAACAGTGTCTAAAGCAATTTTAAATTAGTTGTAAATTACAACCAGTCGCCAATCTAGTTAAACAACTACTTCTGTATCATTTCGAGTTGGTAAAATTTTGTACTTTCTCACAATTTGGTAGGTACTAAGAACCGATTGCACTCATCACAAGTTTTTTCGAAGACGCATATACTTCAGTTCATAAATCTGCATCCTAAAACAAAGATGCACAGTTAAATAGTTATTCATGTACCAAGAACGAAAAACTGTCTATTATAGTCGAGACAGTTTTTCGCCGAGGTGCACATTCCATATTTTCGTCGACCCCAAACACCTGTATTCACATAACGGTCCTATTCACACGTGAAATCTATCGGATTTCGTGAATAATTAATTTGACAATAGCAAATGGCATTTGTTGTCAACTCACTCTCCGCGCGGACCAGGGTTGTCAGTTCGATTTTTATTCCATCAGGAAATACCTTGTCAAAAATTCAGAGATCAATTTTATGCTATACGAATTACAAGAAAGGATAATGAAATAATCCTATGACGTTAGAACATTATGTACTTTCAGTAAATAGAACAGTCACCTATTTCCAACAAAATAGAAACAAACAAAACAAACCATTCTCATACAAAAATAATCACATTCCTAATTCTCAATTTCAAAATACTAACAAATATACAGTGTGTCCCACTTACCATGCTCACCATGGGTATCTTTTTAACGGTGAGATATACGAGGTCGGTTAAATGACACCAAATGTGGAGTTTCTCAACGCCAACTATGGTGTGAGAAAATATTTTGAAAAAATCTATTCGTTTTTGTTTTATACGCAAAAAACAGATTTTGATCATTTTCATGTCTCCTCCGTAACTTCTTTATTTATGAAAATATTCGAATAGGAATTTCATATTCTCATGGCAGTTTTTTAGTGATTTCGGAAAAAATATTAAATTTATACCAACTCTTCTAGAATTTGAGATATCAACACCAACTTTAATTTTTCAAATGTAGGTTATAGCTCACTATGACTAAGTTACAAATAACTTTTTTTTCTCTTAGAGATGATATGTCGCAGTAATAGTTTTGTGTTGATAACAACGGAGTTATCGTCATTTATACAAAAACAAAAAATTATTTGGAAGCCGCCATCTTGAATTTATAAATTTTAACAAAAAAGTCATGATCTCCGACCTCAAAAACCTCCACTTACCAATTTTGAATGGAATCGGACCAACTCTTGTCCGCCATCTTGGAGCAGCCATTTTTTTTTTCAATTTCAACAAGAATTCCATAATGTATTGTCACCGAAATTAGGAACACCTGCCAAATTTCAAGTTGATCGGAGTATGTGATTAACAATAGATTAATGATAATATAGGTAATTATAATAATGAATAAGTATCAAAATATTCTTCAGTAGATTATGAAATGTTTTCAGAAGATCTACTGAAATTTCAGTAGAACCGGCAACCCTGCAGCGGATGAAAAGTGTCTGCGGAAGTACTTGCCTTCGGAAATAGTCGGTTTTTCGTTCGGAAATTAGAACGTAGAATGTGATTTTTTTGTGAGGTCGACGAAAAACATTATTGTAGAAATCAAGCACCTATACAATTTATATTTATGTAAGTTAAAAGAGTTTTCGAGAGTGTATCCAACAATTCCAAAATGGTGACAGACCAAGAGAAAAAAAGTATGTACAGAGTGGATGAAATTGAACGTTTTTCGAGTTGATTGGCTACGTAACTTTCCCACATTGGATTACATCTCTTTCAATTACACTTTCTATCAAGAAGTTCACAATTTTGACATAAATATGTATATATTTCATAATAATGAAGTAGAGAATCATTTCAAAATCGATCCCACTTCTACAACAGTTATCGATAGAATCTGGATCTGCAAAAACGCCCAAGTTTGCTACCATATATGCAAACAGTGATTGGAAGAATTGGTTTACTATTATTTCAAAAACATATAAATTGAAATACCTATTCTACTCATGCATATGCTTCAATTTCAAACTGAAAAAAAAACTTTCTAGCACTGATCTGATATTCACTAGTCCGCAAAATTTTACAAAATTATTAATTAATCAATTATGGCGTTTAAAATTGAAATTCGCGCGAAGGTTTGGCAGAAGTTGTTAGAAGTTTTCTTAGTTTTTTTGGTATAACTAACACAAATTCATGGAAATGAATATTGAGTATTTGTTTACCATGGAAACTTTATTCTAGTGTGAAATTTTGACTCTACCTCTGGATTCAGCAGTATTTTAGAAAATATTTCTATGAATATTCAATACAAAATATGGGAAGCGACAAGTTGATATAGAAAAGTGTAATATTGTTCAGGTTTCTAGCAGAAATTCCAAATCAAAACTGAATAATTTCATTCTTTATAGAAATAGTGGACTCCTCAGAGGTTGGGGATGGAATATATCCTTGGTCTGTATATGAAGAAGTGAATTCCCCTTTTTTATGAACGTTTTTGCTAAAATCTACTTGTTCAATTTATTTCAGTGCATAGTTTTCATTGAACCACAGTGTTATTATAATACATACCTTGTTATATGGCATGGAATAATATGATGATCTCACACCTGGAACTCTCCATTTCAAGTAGAAATAAACGGCTAATCCAATAACTGATAGTATTGCAATAACACCTATAATGATACCTAAAAAATATTGAGAGTTGATCAAAATGTGATAAGTGTTCCGCCAATCAAAGTTAGACTACGTGTACTATCTACACTAGATGCTTCCAGAAAATACTCCACCGATCAAAAGTATGGGAATTCATTGTATCTATGTGTTATGGTACCTATTTATAACACACATTGGGCAGCAAAATTCAACATCAACATTATATCCTCAAAAATATGAACAATTACAGTTGAGATAAAAAAATCAGTCGGAGTTTTTCAGCAATACAACCATCAGATATAAAAACGATCTGTATAGAGAGAAATTGAATATCTTACCAGCCACTGAACCTGAACCGAGTTTCTGTGATATTGTCTCTTCCAATAATTTACATGCTTCCATCCTTTGTAATATAACATTTTCGAGACAATCGCTGCTCTGAAAAAGAAAATGACAATGTCATCACTGAAAATCATATTGGCCATAGTGGAAGGAGAAGATGGTGTGCCTACGCGCATATTATGTGACGTCATCTGGGATACCAATATCAGCTGCTAGTCACAGACAGATACCGTTGCCATGGGCGTGCGCAATGAATTCAATCATGTTCATTGAAATTTCTATAAGTTTCTCGATCTGTTAAGGAATAATTCAATTTATATAAACAGGTACCTATTCCTTCAATTTTACTATTTCATTGAATCTGGAAATTGTGTTGTGTTGTGTGTGTTGCTTCTGCTCCGACATCGACAACAAGAGTATCAATTTTTGCCGTTTTGTTATTCAAATCTTTGCTGCAATTTATATTTTGTGAGAAATTAAGAGTTTTGAATTCATTTTCAATTATTTCTGACTTAATATTCGGAAGATGTTCTGTAGGAATGGCATCTTGTTTCAAATATTTGTGATTTTTTGGAGGTGTGTAATTCAAGAACCGTACTTTCGCACTTGTTTGGGAACATTTTGCATGGAAATGTTTTGAAGAAATACGTGCTGTAATATGAATGTGATGATAATATGATAGGTGAATACTTTGGAATGAGGATATAAGGAATAAAAGGTAGGTACCATAATTTGAGTTTATATTCTGTCGGCAGCAAGCTCCCATCGTTTCATTAGGTCTCCATTCTTGGAAAAGCAGAAAAATTCAATATCTGTGCCTTTTGTATGTTAGTTGGAATTTCCATAACCAGAAACGAAACAAGTAGGCATTTCGAAATTATTTCTTTCAATTTTAGTACTTATATAATATCTGAAGTTCGAGACAGCAATCAGGAAAACAAATAATAACAATGACAGTTATATCCCAGCTGACGTCATGCACAGAACAAGACAAGTTTGAGCTTTCTGTTGAGCACACCATCTTCTCCTTCCACTATGATATTGGCAATTACAATTTTCCATAGTGAAAGTAAGAGAAATAACATAATACCGCATACTTTTGATGTTAATATGTATTATAAATTGTCCCAAGTATAGAGGGTGTAATTAAATTGATGGCTAAAATATAGGATATGGTTCCTTAGATCACTCTAGACGGTTCATGTGAACATATATCATAAACCTCTCAACTGTCGAGCTATAGGGTGTTGAAATTTTTCAAGAAATTTGACATGCACCTACTAAGCACCAATAGGCAATGGTGTCCGTATGGGATTTTTACTAAAAAAAATATTGTACGCTCTGCTTTTTCCGAGAATAAAAATAATTTTTGAAATGCTCATTCATTTTTCAATAATTTGACCTCCTGATTTTTTCCGCCCGACGCACTTTTTTCGCGTAAAAGAATAAAAACCATTTTGGCTAATTCAATCAATTGACTTTACTTGAATAAAAATTAGACAAAAACACGTACCACCTAGAAACTACCACATGAGATTCTAGTAGGTGAATTTCAGAAAATATCGAGAACAGTATTGAGGTTATGAGGAAACGATTTTTTTCATCAATTGTAACTTCAGCTTTTCTCTTTAAAATGAGCCAAAGAACCATATCCTATATTTTTAGCCATCAATTTAATCACACCCTGTATCCCACTGCCCCCGACAACACTAATTTTCGATGTTTTTGAATTCAATCTCATATGAAAATATTCGATGTATTTTTAAGGCATTCAAGAGAAAACAACTATTTTCCGACTGATACCACGCAGATAATTGAATTACATGAATGTCTTGAACACCTAGTATAAGAATCTCATAGTGAAATATCAACTGCATTCTCTTTCAGATTTCAATCAACATAATGAAAAAATGAAATTGGAAATAAGAAAAATTACCTCAAATGTTGGATGATTCTAGATTGCTAATGAAAATCTAAACAGATTGGAAGGTTAATCATCAATATTTCTAACTCACCAAAACAAACCGTCAAATCATTAACCATCTCTTGCAAACAGATTACCTATAGGTATATGATTTTGGTCGATTACAACTCATGATATATTCAGTAGCATGAGAGGAAAAAAGCCAAGGACCCTGATTCGACAAAATCAATAGCATGGATTCCAGTTATGGGGATATTAAATCGACTGATGAAAAATAATACTGAAGATCTCTAATCACAGATTAGTGATTGGATCTTGCAAAAATTTTCCATAATAGATGATTTCTATGAACCAGCCTGTTGTTCATTACGTGAAAACTTAGGCGCCGAAAAAAATTATGTATTTATAGTATTTCAAATATAGTAGTTTATCTATAAACGCTCCGCCTCGCAAATGCCAAATTCGCTTGTCAAACAAAGTGACTCTTTTGATCCGAACGAAACATGCTATTTTGTCTGCAACCGAAAGAATTAACTCAAATAAATATGTGAAGTAACTACCAATGCCGTGCCATATGTATGGAATGCAATAAATAATCCTTGTGGTGAGAATATTCTACCTGCATTAACAGCAGGTTAATTCAATTTTCAAGGATGTTCGAATTGTAGTTTCAATATGAATTCAACCACAGAGTGACATATTTGTGTATGGACCAGGTGCTCTAATAGCAAATACCGCGCCAGTGCCAGGTATAGAAAAAAGACGTGGAAAATGTTAGGTTAGTGAGCATATCAACAATAATAAAAGCGATTATTGATTTCTTTCCACACTCCACTGTGTTTGGCTCGATAATCAAATGAAAATAAACAATATCGTTGTTTGAGACAAAAAACTGTTGCTGGCCGTGATCATTCAAAAACAAGTTTTCCATCCCGAGAATAACGAATGAAATATAGATCAGGCAAGAATGTGAATCTTGAAGGCTTCCCTTATACTTAACTATAATAAGATGTATTTATATCTCCAGCATAGGTAAGAAATGCCAAATCTGCCGACATCGTAACCAAATCAAGTATGTGTCCCAACCCAAATAACCAACCGTAACAATGTTGTTAATTTTTGATGACCTCTAGTACACCTTTTTTAGTTCCTAGGAGCTAAAGTTCAAATTTAGCTCCTAGGAACTAAATGTGTTGCCCAGCAACATACCTAATCCATGTCAGTAATAGAAACGTCAATTCAAGAGCTAACTTTGGTATAAAAATGGACTTTTGTGTCGGTTGCAGAAAGAAGTTTTTTTTTTATGTGACGGGAAAAAAGTTTCGACATTTCATCTCTGTTGACAGGTTATAAAATGTCACTTTTCATTAATTACTTCATATTTTACGTCGATAATAAAATTTTCGATTTTAATACAATGTAATATCTTCCCAATATTGATTCATCCTTTTTCCTGCCACAAAAAAAAATAGTATATTAGATTTTAGCTCACGGTTTTTGTGTCCTTTCGCTAAACATCGGAAGACAACACAACCTCAAGCTAAAATATAGTTTTCTCTTGCATAGCAAATAACTATTTTTGTTACGTTATTGGAAATACAAGAAAAAACTGAAAATACTTCTCCATAACAACTTTTGATAAGATTCAACGGGTTGATATGCGACTCATTTTATTGAAAAACGGTCCTGATTATGGTTCACAGATTCTGTAAGCTTTAACAGTTTTCATAGAAACAAATCATCAATGTCCTAAATGTGATACATTCGAACTATCACAATATAGGGAAATGTTGAATACTCATCAGTGGGGCGCTGTATCCCTCGATTTTTCCTAGGGGTCAATGCTTGACCAAATGAAACTTTACCTTCAGCAGTTCCTCCGTCTTCCGAGGGCTGTCATTGCTTTCATTTGGACAATTCAAGATAACAATAGACTGGAACTTATTTGATGCAACTGAAACACGTTAATAAATTTTCAATTTCACAAGTCAGAAACATTCAACATTCACTAGAAACTATGCTTGAGAAACTCGTTTACAGTTTATTTTTGGTAAACTGAATAAATTCATTTGTAGCCAAACTATCCATTCTTGAGGAATATCCTGAAACAGATCGACTTTTATTCTCAGTTTGCCACATTTATACGAAAAAATTGAATATACAGGGTGTTCCACGTTTCGCGGCAATTTTGTCAAATGGGACACCCTATATATTATTCAAAATTTGGAATCTCCAAGGAAAACTGAATTCAAAAATAAACTGATCTAAAAAATTAAGGACATTGTGAAATCTTTGGAACGGACGCTCAATTTCGAATTTTATATTCATTTGGGCATTTTTTCGAATTCAATTAACACATTCAGAGTGATTCGTATAGAAGAAATGAGGTCATCGATATATGTAATATATTTTTGAATTCAGCTTTACTACATGGAGATTCCAAAAATTCAATAATATATAGGGTATATAGGAAAAAATTGTCGCGGACGTTATAACTCAAGCGTGCATCACCCTGTATATTCAATTTCCCTTTGAGAATGTGGAAAATTGAGAATAGAAATCGACCTGTTTCAGTAGATTCTTCGGAAATGGAGAGTATGGCTGAAAATCAATTTATTCAGTACTTAATGGAAGCACTGTACACAGGGTGACTCAGAACTAACCAGCCATAACTTAATGCGGGTAGAAGAAATCAAGGTGAGTTGATATATGTGTAAAAAAGTTTGTTTTGTATATTCTTCATAGAAATACAGGGTATTTCTTAAATTCGGGACATAACTTTGAAGAACGATATCTCGGAAAAGTCTTGAGGTTATCCGCTGAAATTTACCAGCAACTAATTATTGCTGCATATCTTCGACTTTTATTTCAACTTTTCTTAGTGGAAGAAATTGTCAGCAGAATGTGTAAGTTATAGGGTATTCTACAGGGTATCCCCAAAAGGTATTTTCAAAAAATTACCACATATGCCTCAGACTAAAACAATAAGTATCTTATTTTGGGCGCTAGACGGCTCTGAAGTTTTCAATTTACAATTTTCTGCTTCATGAATTTGAATCAGCTCATGAGATGTCATTCAAATTTGGTACTTTGGAATAACTTTATTGGGCAATAAAACCCATATTATGATTATGATGAATATCATTATATGGACACATAGTACTTGATTTTGTCAGTAAATATACATCTAAAACTTCTACGTCAATGAACAGCAAGTGTTTCTTCGAATATGAAATTCGAATCCATCTACTACAAAGAAGTTACTCTTGATAGAATTATATTATTCTTCAATTAACATTAAAACGATTAACAGGTATGTCATGAAAATTGTTCATCATTTTCACGTATACAAAGTTTATGACGAAAAAAATGGATACAAGCAAATTCATCTTAGTACAAAGTTGCTCTGTGAAACGGTGAAACACGCCAACTACTTATATCTTCTATCGAAGAGTAGCAACAACTTTGTTATTTCAAATAGAATACCTTGTATTTCATTGCATATTTAGATTCCCCAGAATAGCTGATTTCATCAATACATCACACTGGGGGTCTAGCGTGAATTATTACAGAGATATAGGGTGTTCAAAATCGAGAATTTTCAACTTCAGGATTTTTTTGTGTCGACACTATTCATTATTTGTCAAAATGGCTCACACATGTCAACTTTTGATTTACTATCTACTAACATTTAATTGAAACAAAAACAGGGTAGTTCAAGATCCAGAATTCTATTCATCCTGTATCTGTTCCGATTAAATGCCAGTAGATAGTGTATTGGAAGACAAATAATGAATAGTTTCGACACAAAAAATTCTTAAAGTAGAAAAATCTCGATTTTGAACACCCTATATCTCTGTAATTATTCTCGCTAGACCCAAAGTGTGATGTATTGATGAAATCAGCTATTCTGGGACAATCTAGTAATGCAATGAAGTACAGGGTATTCTATTTGAAATAACAAAGTTGTATGTCCACGCAACGCAGAATCTCCGAACGTGATTTTGACCCACTTCTAATCATCTGATTGATTTAAATTTTGGCAAGTAGGTGAACATAATTCTGGTGCCAATGCATCATGACATTTTTGTTAGATAAAAAACAAAATGGCGGCTCCGAAATGGTGGAGGGATTTTGCAATTATGATCCGATTCTATTCAAAATTGTTATCTGGGGGTTTTCGGGGTCGGAGATTATGACTCTTTCGTCAAAACTTGGAAATTCAAGATGGCGAACGAGTTTTGTAATTATGATCCGATTCTATTAAAAATCTGGTATCTGGGGATTTTTGGGGCGAAGATTTTTTCGTAAAATGAGGAAATTAAAGATGACGGATCCAATACATGGCGGACGAGTTTTGTAATTATGATCCGATTTTACTCAAAATTGTTATCTGCGGGTTTTTGGGGTCGGAAATTATGATTATTTCGTCAAAATTTGGAAATCTGATATGGTCGATTCAATATGGCGGACGAGTTGTAATAATTATGATCCAATTCTGTTCAAAATTTGTATTTGGAGGTTTTCGGGGTCGGAGATTATGATTCTTTCATCAAAATTGGGTACTTGTAAAGATATAAACAAGATATAAAACACGCTTTCGTAGTTAGCCGAACTAAAAAATGGAATATAAATAGTAGTTCGGAAAACTAAAGAAAGACTTTTATAGATAGCCGAACTAAAAAGAAGTAGAAAATAAATAAAGTAGTTCAAAAACTAAAGAAAAACGCTTTACTAGATAGTAATATAATAAAAGTGTGTTGATAAATACACAACATAGAATATACTGATTACGGAGGTGCTTATATTTTCCATGTTGTGTATTTGCACACTTTTATTATTTTATTTTCTACTTCTTTTTCGTTTGACCATCTAGTAAAGCGCGTTTCTTTAATTTTTTTAAATACTATTTATTATTGATAGAGACGAGAAGAGAGAATTCAGAATATGCTACCTCTTCAACTAACCTACAGACACCCTATTTGTACCTACTCACCAGAAGTTTGGCGACAGGTTTTTTCTGTTTCGAAAATAAGTGAGACATATCTCTTTGTTCTATTAAATATTATTTCAGGACACTTCGGTGATGTTACCTAGAACCCAAATATGAATTAGTGATCAACTTTTATTATTATACAAATATCATACAATGTGTTTCCGAAATAGGACCGATAAATAAAATGGGGAGTTGTACACTTGTACAGTGCTTTCGTAAAACCATAACCCAATGTTTATAAAACTATTGAATTCAGCTTTCCATGGTGATTCAATTTTCCCTTATAAATGTGGAGAATTGAAAATTGAACTCGGCTTGTTTCAGGAGATGCCTCAGGAATGGATAGTGTGACTAAAAATGAATGTATCCACTACTTCCCTAGAGCACTCGATTCAACGGACGCACTGTATACAAAACCTGCGTTGAATATATTTTTGAATTCAGCTTTCCATGGAGATTCCAAAAATTGCATAACTCGAAAGTGGATGACCCTGTATATTGATTTTCCCTTATAAATGTGGGACATTGAAAATAAAAATCGACCTCTCAGGAGATTCCTCAGAAATGGATAATTCGGCTGAAAATAAATTCATTCAGTACTTTACGCAAGCACTGTACATACATACCTACATACACGGTGGGGCACCGAAAACGAAACAGATCGAATATCTTCGAAACACTTTCTACTTTCCCTACACAAATTGTTTGGGTGATAGATAGTGACCAGTTGGTGGGGGGAGACTGGGGAGAGGTATGACAGTTGTTGTGGTTATGATAGGAATATGTCCCCTTTGGATTAAAAATCGACGTTTTCTTGCACTTTTTCATACGTGTTTTGAAGGTATTCGATCTGTTTCGTTTTCGGTGCCTCACCCCGTATATGTTTTATAATGACAGAAATCAATCGTAAAAATGTCTAAATTATTTTTCTACGAACATATATTTTTTTCAATCTTTGGAAGAAGTCCATGGTAACTCAAAGTGGAAGGGTGTAGTTCATAGATGAAAACTCAAGAGTCATCTCCACAACTTTTATTAGAATGATCAAAGATCAATGGCAACGGAACATATTTTGGGCTTATATAAGCCCATCATCAGCCATTAGAAAGTATCATAGTTATGGAAATGAAAAAAGTAGACATACAAATAGTATTAATAACAGGGCAAACAGGGAGATATGCTCCATGTTTCTCTGTGTAAAATGATGTGAATTTAATATAAAACTTATTTGAAAAGGTTGAGTGTCGGGTTCATATTTTACAAGGGCAACGTGCCCTTGAATAACCAAAAGGTGATAATTAAACGTTGGAAAATCAAACTAAAAAGTATGATAGGGCATCAATTTTTCGGTAATTCAAGGGCACGTGGGCCCTTGTAAAATATGAACCCGACCCATAACCGTTTCAAATAAGTTTTATAAAAAAATTACATCATTCTACAGAGATAATCATGATCTTTGATAATTCTAATAAAAGTCGTGGAGATTTTTTCATTTCGCTTTGTCTTTTATTTACCACTTTTCATCGATCCAATTTCGGAAACACCCTGTACACCCACTGTTGAAATAGGTACTTACATTCAAATTTAAACTATTGATATTGAATTGATAGCCAGTGTTGGGGTTTTTCACCAAGCAATTGAGTTCAGTCAGGAAATTATGGTGCGGAACATCGATCACTTTGTGATTTTCGTTTATTTGTTCATGAAAATTACTATCATGTTCCTTATAAGAAGGTTGAACTTTATATTCGGTGTTGTCTGACAATTTTTCATCAATTTTTATAACAGGTTCCTGAAAAAAAAAAGATTCAAATGACATTGAAATAATTATTATTTGTGTACGACCTAGGAGCTTCTAGTGTATTCAATAATGGGGTTGAACGCACTAGTCGAATTTACGCCACATAGGTACCTATTTATTTTTTTCTACTCACATAACTAAAATGGCATTTAGCGTACGGACATGTACGATTGACGATCTGTGATTTATTTAAAATATTAAACGCGTTACCATGGCAACAGAGTTTTTCAAACACACCTTCAGTCTTGAAAAGGAATATTCTCAGATATATATTTATGAACACGAAAAAATGGATATATAAATAAAGAAATATATTGAGAATTCGCATTCTCCATGTGATGAAAATATTAATTCTTTCTTGGTTTATTCAACAGAAAACAACTACTTTCCTGGCTATATGACACGACGAATATTGAATTACATCTACTGAACACACACGATAATAACTTGAAAACAAAATCTTCTGAAGTAGAGAATTTGCATGAGAATGCAATGAGATCATATAAATATATGCATATGATATCACTCTGAATATTCAACAGAAAACAACTACTTTCCTGGCTATTTGCCACGTCGAACATTGAATTATATCTATTGACTATCCAAAAAGAGAGCATGAAAAATTAAAATCCTCTGAAATTGAGAATTGAAATCATTTCTCAAATCGAATAGAATAATATGATGTATTATGATATAATAAAAAACTTCAAACAATATGTTCAGTATTGAAATGAAAATTGAAATGTATAGGAGAAGTATACTTGTATGAACTCTGATCTTGATGAGCTTGGAACTTGATGTGGGAATTATATATCTCTCACAAACAGGTTATATGACTTAACTCGAGTAAAACTCATTTCGGATATCATATCCTCATCAGTAACCGGAAGTCCAGTTATTCTTTCAGCCATTCTTCATGATATACACAATTTTCATCTCCCTATAATATAACTAAAACTATAACGATCTGACATCTGAGAATTACTATGATTTGTTATTTGTTGACATACTCCTGTCATTTGGGCATTTGGTTTTGGATGTATGATAAATTGACATTCATCATGACGAATATTGAATTACATCTATTGAACACACGTCCTGTATTTCCTCAATTTCAGAGGATTTTGATTTTCCATGCTCTCTTTTTGGATATTCAACAGATATAATTCAATGTTCGACGTGGCAAATAGCCAGGAAAGTAGTTGTTTTCTGTTGAATATTCAGAATGATATCATATGCATATCTTTATATGAAGGAGAATGCAAATTCTCTACTTCAGAAGATTTTGTTTTCAAGTTCTTATCGTGTGTGTTCAATAGATGAAATTCAATATTCGTCGTGGCATATAGCCAGGAAAGTAGTTGTTTTCTGTTGAATAAACCGAGAAAGAATTAATATTTTCATGACATGGAAAATGCGAATTCTCAATATATTTCTTTATTTATATATCCATTTTTTCGTGTTCATAAAATATATATCTGAGAATATTCCTTTTCAATTCATTTCCTTACGTGTTCACGATTATCAGACATCGCTTATTTCAGTTTCACAAATACAATAGACTATACAAAATCTACTATTGATAAATATAAATAGAACAAAATTTTCGTCTATATTGACAGATTTTTAAAAGCTAAAATTAAAAAATCACAAAAAAGACCAGAATTTTATTCTATTGAAGAATTCACAGTGATGATTTTTAATATTGAATGACTGTATCAAATACTATTAATACATGTAATGATCGAAATAAAATATAAATTTGACTAGTGTGTGAAATCCCATTGATTACTTCATGAGACGGTCGATTAATAACAGCGCATACACTGCAAACTTCAACTTTGACTAGTTTGCTTGCGTAGAATATGAATTATTTTGAGGTCGTAAAATATAAGGTTGACCATTATGTCCAATTTATTTCGGTATAAAATATTTTCAGCCGCAATTCATTTGGGCGTGAATACAGCTCTATCCAAATTTTATTGTTCGGTAATACTTATGCTTGAGAAATCACCCACAATCTAGATCTAGAATGTTCATGAAAAAGGCTTCTCGAAATTTCGGCCTCCAATATCGAGTAACAATTAAACTAATCTTATCAAATAATAACTCAATTAGTTCACTTACTTTCTCCAAACAGGCCAGATGAGTTTTTAACTCGAATAACAAAATGCAATTCTTAATATATTTCATTTCAAAGTGTTCATTATATAGAATTGCATCACAGGTCAGTTTGAAAACTGTTTTATTAAACTGGTTCTCAGAACTATTACAATGTTCATTGATATTCACTTCCAAATATGTTTCATTTCCATATTCAACAATAGTTTTATTCAATGCAATATATTTGCAATCTGAAAAAATAAAAATATACCGGGTGTCCCAAGTTATCGAATACAGGCAATATTTATTTATTTATTTATTTTCTTATTTATTGGTACAGTACATCCAGCAGGCCAAAAAGCCCATTTACAGGTGTATACAATTAGCGTTATGAATAATTGCACCTATAGCAGAGTCAATTCTGAATGAAATGGAGAATCTCTTTTTCGAATTATTCGAACGTTAAAAAAATATATATCTACACTAGGAACCTTATTAACATTTCTGGATATAGTAGCTATGGAGAATGAGAATGATACCTTGTATTGGAAACAGGAATATGAAATGTGCTACAGAACCTAGATGAAATACGCGGTACACTGAATAGCATATGAGACAATAGGGGTGGGTGAACAATCTATTTGTTCATGTATGATTTTATATGCAAAACACATATCTCGGCCTTCCCCTGAATGTCTTCAAAGACATCATATGAAACTCGTCCAACAATAAATCATAGCTTAACCTCTCTCGGGGTAAACGCCGTGTTTTTTGAGAAATGCATATTATTTCAAACGACACTGCAGTCCTATATTCCCTGCAGTCCCGTATCAGAAAGCCCAAACATTTCATTGAAATTGATATCACATTTTGAATATTATTGGAAAACGTGAGTTTTTGAGCGAACAGAACTTCTAGATCCTTTGATTCCAAGATCCGCGTTAAACTTTCACCATTTAGTACATAGTTGAATGTTACTTGTAGGATTTTACGAGTGAATGTCATTATTTTACATTTATTTGTATTCAAGTACACTTTATTAAGAGCACACCTTATTCAATGAATTCAAGTCCTCCTGCAATGTGAAACAGTCTGCTTCACTTTGTATTTCACAATATATCTTCATGTCATCTGCAAATAGCAGTTTATGAGAAGTGATGCCATCGAATATGTCATTTACAAATAATATAAATAATAATGGCACAAGATTTGACCCCTGTGGGACATCCGAACTCGCTACAAAACAGGAAGATTTTATACCATCACATTCAACACCGACATCGGTCGGATAAATATAATTTCAGGAGCATGCTAATGACAAATGATATGCCAAAGTTTGATAATTTCATTAGCAGTTATTGATGTGATACTGGTTCGAACGCCTTACTAAAATCCGTTGGGATAACATCAACTTGATTACTATTATCAAGTACATCAGAAACAAATTGGGTGAAAATACAAAGATTAGTGCTACGGGCCTGATAAATTCATGTTGAAAAATGGACAGTGACGAACGAACATTACATTATTACAAAATAAGAAAACTGCTTTGAATGGCATTACAGTACCTTCCTGATGACTTATTAACAATGATGTATTACATTTGACAGCCCTGTGGTAGCAACCCCTCAATTTTTATTTTCAAAGGACACCCCCCTGTATATTGTCGTCGGAAATTACGTGTCATTCTATTTGGAATACAACGATAGCACATACTTGGTATTTTGTTTATTATTTTCAACAAAAACGTTAACATTTTGTGACTTTTCTTACGTTACTTAAATGAAGTTGCTTCCGCTCATGTTTTCAAAAACTTGTCTGGTACCACCATTCCCACCAAGACCACTAATACTATGCTCGGTATCACCATCAGCAATACTCTCTCATGGGAAAAATCATGTCCGATCCAGCGCAAAAGCTGCTTCACAACAACTTAAATCCTTGTTCCGTGTGAAATTCTACTTTACATCTAAACAGCCTCTCATGATCTACAAAGCACAGATACGGACAGTTTAGAATACTGTTCTTAAGTATGGGGTTCAGCACCCAAACATACGCTGATGCTCTTAGATTCCATCCAGAGAAGAGCCATTAACTCTGTGACCCCATCATAACACCGTAGAAAAGTCGGCGACCTTTCACTTTTCTATCGATACTTCCACGGGAAATGTTCTTCGGAAATCTCTGCTATAATTCCAACACTAGTAATACCAGTCAAACGAACTCAACAGGCCCAGTGAGCAAATCCCTTCGTCGAAAAATGTCGAACACCACTCTACCAAAACTCGTTCGTCTATGGAACGGCGAAGCTTTGGAATTCTTTGCCAATTGAAGTATTCTCAAGAACTTATAACCTCCAAAAGTAACAAAAAATGCCAATACCTACCTCCTCTCCCAAGGTACGTACGATGTTCCTCAAACATTATAGGAAGATTAATTTTTTGTTAAAAAAAAAACGATGCTTTTTATATCAAAAAATAAATAACAGTTATTCTATTTTTTAGTGTAGTACATCAATGATTTGCAAACGGTACCTAGTGTGATTAATCTACTTCTATTCTGTGAAGTTTTCAAAAACATGGGAGGCAATTTTTCATTTAAATAAGTCACAAAATGTTGATGTTTTTGTTATTTATCTACGAAATAGCAAGTAAGTGCTATCATTGTATTTCAAACAGAATGAAAAGCAATAGGAGTGCCATTTGAAAATAAAAAGTTAGGGGTAGCTACCACAGGACTGTTGAATGTAATACGTTTTGTTATGTCATTCGGAAGGTACAATACCATTCAAAGCAGTTTTTTTTATTTTCGAATCATCGTGTCGAATGAACGAGATATTGTCTGTATACGATAACTTGAAACATCCCGTATAATATTCCTCATGCTGACTAAAAATAAAATAATCACTTACCAAGTTCTGTACACTTTGACTTATCATTTTCACAAAAATCAAAGAAATATGTTGAATTTGTTAAGGATTTAATTTTCAACTGAGTGCTCTTGAACTGTGTGAAATCAACCCTGGAAATGAAATTTTCGTTGATATTTGATCAGAGACGATTTTTTTGTTACTCACAAAAATCCAGTGAATGGATTCTTGAAACTACATCGTGTTTTATCCTTTATTTCCGGACATGAATTATTAGTTCTCCAAAGAAATTCCAAAGTTGAATCTGTTTTACTCAACAACATCGGACCTTCCTACGAACAAAAATCAATTAAACACATAGTAATCTTACTCGGCATAAATAAAACTTCTTCCTAAAAAATATATTTTACGAAGAATTACTTGAGAGAACGAAAGAAACTACTTTCTCTAAACAATCTGACCTAACTCTGCCTAAATGAACCTTCCTAAAAACTTTATTCTTCGGAAAATTACTAGAAAGAACAAGAGAGACTACTTTTTCTAAACAATTTAACCTAACTCGGCCTAAATGAACCTTCTTTGTACAAAATATATTCAGAAAATTACTTGAGGCCCGTATTTAGTCTCAAGAACTCCTCAAGTATTATCTGAGGATTCCTTGAGGACTCCTCAGTACTTGACTTTAAACTTGTTTTATAGGCCTGCCTTGAGTATTCCTTCTAAAAGAAGCCCTCACACTTGGCGACAGTGTATAATTTTAGTGTTCTGTGACCCAATTTGTTTTTTCATGTCACGTGTTTCTCACAAAACGTAAAATGTCAATTTGACAAAAATACTGGGATATTTTACTGTGGACATCAGAAGATTCTAATAATCCAGTATGTATATCCAAGGTACCGTAAAATAAAGAAGGGGTCGAAGAGTTCATCGATGACGATGTTGGAAAATTACAATACAAATATGACTCTACTAAAAACGGATTATCTTAAGCTGCAATTGAATAATATGCCGGGGATAGAAAGAATATCCATTTGATTGAATAACTTCGAACGAAACTGTGATTTTGTGTAGCTGTTCATTGAAAATGTATGTATTTCAATTACATGAACAAATCATCAATGTATAATTGTGAATATGCTGAGTTTCTATTATTTGTAATATATACCTATTCCTATTATTCGAAATAAAAAAAGATAAAAAATCTATATACTCGAATCACATTCTGTGTACAAATTTCAATACTTGAATATTCATTTGATTACTACATTCAATTTCATCATTCCATTCAAGGAATCCTGAGAAAAGTTTCAGATCAAACACTAGTCCAACCCGTGAAATTCATATCCAATATTATCTAATTATCTAAATATTCTTGACATAACCTGAAATAATACTAGAAATTGGATCAAGGAATGCTCAAGGTGCCTCTTTACCTTCTTTGGAATTGACATTTCCTTGAGGCTTCCTTCGAGTTCATATTACGACTATGAATTGGAAACTGGTCCTTATCCTTAAGGATGCCTTAAGGGACGAGGCCACCTTAAGGAGCGACTATAAATACGGGCCTGGAGTACTAAGTTTAATGTCCCTCACAAGGACTGAGTCCCGGGCCGCAGGCATGGCATACTCACGCTTGGCTCACTGTACAGGGTCATTCCGTATATTTAAACAGGTTCAACAAGGTTTATCATTGAAGATAGAGAAAAACTTCGAATGCAAAAGTTGTAGGGTTTGTTCAAAATCTCCAGAAAATTATACCAGATGAAACAAATGAATATCGCTGATATAAAAAATGGGTACCAACTTCGTTATTTTCAATGGACCCCCCTATACATTTTTTGAAAAAATTCAAGATATTTTCTTCCTGATTCCAAAAATATATTGGTCATTGATTTGGTTTTAATTTGCCATGAAGAAAAAAAGAACACATACGCAAGTTGTCATCAATAAAACGTTCTGTCATATGTTCATTGCATAGAATTTCGGAAGAAGTATGGGTTTCAGTGAAGATGAAAAGTTTGAAATAATTCGTTTATTCTACAAAAATAATAATAATGCAGTGGCAGCTCGAGCGGAGTATCAACGAGGTTCATTTCCAAATAAATGATTTCTTATCTGATGCATCCTGTGCATTTTTGAAAAGTAATCTAATTAGTCGGACTGTTTATTGATCATGGCTACACTGTATTCTTATTGTGAACAAACTGATATGTTGCTGATTCTCGCAGGCTTTACAAGAACTCTCGCGTTACAAATTTAGTGATAACTATTCAGGAACTAAGGTGAGAACTTTAACGCCTTGTACCAACTCAACGAAACGATTTTGCATATAGGTAAGTTGGCTAAAATCAACTTATTTTTATCTCAGGAGTCTACAGTCAAGCCATGCCCCAACTAGACATATATATTTTTTTAAATGCATAAAATGCCTCAGATCATATATTATTCAATTGCAGATGAACCTCGAGACTTATCAAAAATTAACACGATACAAAAAATATTTCTGAAGGAAATATCTTTCTGGAAAAAAAACTGAAAGTTTCTAGTCTGACCTCTGAAAAGTTATCACCGAATTGGTACGGCAACATGGTTGTTTGAAACACTTGCAAGTCACTGATGATGATCAAAACCATCTCAAAACGTGATTTACAGTCACAGAACATGCCATGCCAAAAATTATGAAAATCGAGCTCAGCCTACTCTTTTTATGAGCAAAATAATTTTCTTCCAAAAAAACCTCAACGCCTTGTACCAACTCAACGAGACGATTTTGGATATAGGTAAGTTGGCCTAAATCAACTTGTTTTATCCCAAGAGTCCACAGCCGAGCCATGTCCCAACCTTTTTTCAGACACCCTGTATGGTTGTAAATAAATGTACCTATATGTCAGAGCGCCCCGATGTTCAGACAAAGATTGTATACGTCGAGGCGGAATATGAGGATGCGTCCATCACGCATCCATCAATAGCAAATATACAGGGTGGGTAAAATTAGTCTTTTTCACGGGCTATCTCAATTACTAATAAGGTATTTATCGAAAAACCGATATACATGTTACGGGTACGATTTCAGAGAAACCAAAAATGGCGCAGTTCGAATTTTGATATATTCATTCGTTTCAGAGATACAGGGGGAAATTGAAATATTGCCGATTTCGTTTTCATTTTCTGAGCACTTTGTGGTGAGGAATATTGAAAGATTTCAAACGCTTATCCATATAGTATGATGCGAACAATCCATTTTATACAGGGTAAAAAGATACGGCAGCCTATTATATTTTTTCTTTTGGAACACTCCGTATATTTTGGCACAGTTGGATAGTCTCAGTCTTTCGAATTTTGAATATATAACTTTAATCCTACCTTTTTCTTCCATAATTTCAAAAATATATTTAGTGTGTCACATGTTTCATGGTAGCACCTCCTTACCTACCGTAAAAATCAGTTTCGATTCAAAAATTCGCAACATTGAGATAGATAACAATGATACACTCAAGGACCAAGTGAGGCCATCTTCAGTGATGTTGAAAATGACACTTTCTATAATAATGAAAGGAGGAATATAAATACTGTAATGATATTCCCCTTAGACGGTCCCTAGAGAATCATCAATAAGGCAGAAGTACAACTATCACCCTGTGACACGGATTTCCGAACACCCAATATGTGTCGCGGTGACACTCAACGTGACAGAAGATTCTGGAAACATCTCGAAACAATCGATGGAACATTTAGAGAAAGAGAGATATTGTTCTAGAAGCTTCTAGAACACAAAAAGGGTAGGGAAGATCATTCGAGAACGTTCCGACAAGCAAAGCCTGCCAAGGGATCTAATTGATTATCTGCCAGGGCATATGATCACTCTCTACGTTGATGACTCCTCCTTCTTGATCCCAAACGATTCCAACTGTCAGAATGAACAAGAATGCAATTCACTGCTTGCGAAAAAACACACATGGTTCTCGGCAAACTAGCTATATCTAAACCTCAGTAAAACTAATTTTCTGATATTCCATACTAAACAAAGGACACTTGACCCACTGACATTACATTCAAACATTTCTAATCTGGAACGAGTAAATACCATGAAATTTTTAGGAACCACACTACATGAATCACTGGACTGGCATGAACATTCAAACTGACTAATTAAAGTGATGTTCCAGAATTTATCAATTTAAATGTATGCGAAAGTCATAGATATCGATAGTCTCCGAACATTTCACTTTGCCGAACTACAATCACGTTTAATATATTCCATAATTCATTCCCCTAAAACTAAACTATAAATGCAGTAAATGCAGAGCACAGACAATCACGTGTACAGAACGGCCGGTAGCCCGAGCGGCTGAAACAAATGTATCAACCCCAATGAATGTGGATAAGTCCGACCGGTAGCGGTTGTGCTCACGTAATTCGTCAAGGCATGTTTCTTATCAGACAAAAACAGTCGAATTTAAATCGATTACTAATCAGTGTAGTGTATAGGAATTTATATGATGAATAAATAGTAAGTGATAGACAATTGCGTAAGTGCTGACTAAGACACTGATGGCATGACTTTTAACTCGATATCGACAGTAAGTACGAGACGGTCAAGGTGTACGCTTGAATATGAACATGTCTTCAATACATTACATTATTGGCGACGAGGAAAAGGCACTAGAGTGTAATCTCCGACTAAAGTCAAATGTTTACATGTGTGGTGACCTTGATTTTGTGTTGAAAAGTGCAAAGTGGAGTCTTATAGATAAAAGTAAGTAGAATATTCTCTTGAAAATCTCGTTGGTTTGAAAATCAATCGGAGAATTCAGGGCAAAATTCCCGTTGACAGCTCGATGATTTCAAAATCATTCGAAGTATTCAGGGTGAAATAATTTCCGGTAATATGACGTTGGTTTCAAAACCATTCGGGGCATACATGGTGACAGCTCGATGATTTCAAAATCATTCGAAGTATTCAGGGTGAAATTCCCGGTGATATGCCGCTGGTTTCAAAAGCATTCGGAGCATACAGGGTAAAATTTCCGGTGACAGCTCGATGATTTCATAATCATTCGGAGTATTCAGGGCGAAACTCTCTGCTAGCATTTTCTCCCGACATCAGAAATGCATTTCATTAGTTGGAACTTGCACCAAACTGTCGGTACATAACAACTTTTATTACTGAGGTATATGTAGGTATAAGCGTCTAATGTTTGGAATTAAGTGTGCACCGCAATTATTTCAAGAGCGAATACTTGCCGGCTGTGAGGGCACTAGAAATTTCGTTGGTGATATTGTTGTTTTCGGAGAAAACGAACAAAAACATGATAAAAGGTTAAAAAAATTA